GGGGGGGGGGGGGGCTCACCTATTTCTCTTAACTACACACTCGCCCGTCTGTGTCTCACAGGTGGGTAGACTGAGCTGAAACCCATGCTTCCCATTTACTCCACTCCAGCTGTGTTCCCAGGGCACCAGGAAGGACACAGAACACCTCTGCCCTCCACACCCCCGCACGTGGGCAGCAGTGCAGCTCCTCACTGCATCCCTCATGGAGGCATTTTAGAAAATGTCACCCCCCCACCAGGATATCTAAGCCCAAATAGGATTCCAAGTAGTCCCGCATGGTATTCTCTGAGAAACAGGTCCCTTCGCATGACAGAAATCCAATGGGAGTCTAAAGATGCTGAACAGGATGGATCAGGTGAGGGGACTGAATAAATGAGACCACCCTTTGCCATAGAGGAGGGTGTTTGGACACAATAGAGATGCCAACTCGACTGGGTGGTACCACAGAGGGTTGGACAGAAAAGACACCACAGGCTCTAAGAGATAGAACTGTGTGCTCACAAGATGCAAGACTGAGCCACACACCTAGGACATCAACTTTCTGCAAGAACAAGAGATCTATCAGATGGAGATGGAGTAGAGAGTGTTGTACACCGTGTCCCATATACCTGAGCCCCTAAGCGCCTCATCTGCCGCAGCTTCTTCCCGGAAATGCCAGCAAGCACATGTCATTCTGCAGAGGGGGCTCATCTATTTTTCTTAACTCTACACAAACCTGTGCACGCGTATGCGTGGGCACACACACACACGTACTATCTTTATATAGATATATCTTTACACAGAGATATAGATGTATTTGTAAGATCAGTTGGCAACATCTTAAGAGCAATTTCCCCTGCAAATAGATCAGTTGCTAAACTGTACACACATTTTACTGTTTGAGAAACATATGCATTAAAAGTATGAAAAATAGGGGAAAGAAACAGTGAAAAGGACAGGGGAAAGAACACTGGACAAGCGCCTGCAGACCGGAGTGAGGTGGTGGCTCCGCGGGCACCTGCTGTGAGCCCAGCATTAACCTGGGGCCTGGAGACCCAAGATGGATATGTGAGCAGACCCCACCCAGACACTGCAGTCCACAGGAAAACCCACATCACATGCTGTTTACTTTGGGCAACCCTCTCCAGCCTTCTGGAAAACAGGAATAATAACCCTACTGTCCAGGGCTGTTGTGCGTGGGGGG